ATATATGGCAGCAATACTTCATGCAAGGGTGAATGGTTGATTTGTAGATTTGAAGGATTGACTCTGGTGAGAAAAATTTCCTGGTGTGGCACAGGAAGCCAACTTTCCTAGCAGTGGACGAAGCTATTGTCTCAACTGGCATTTTGAATAATTATCATTTAGTATAATTGTCCTTTCGATTAATTTTCCTTTAAACAATTTACAGTTTGAATAATTGTTTTCCAACGATTTGTTTCAAACAATTTTCTTTATGTCCTCAATGAGGCTACTTACCTCAAACACCTACTGGGTCTAATTCTCAGTCTAGATCTCAAATGGAATGCACATATTTGGTGCCATCACAAAAGATGCTGGAAGAATGGTTGGATTATTGTCAGGTCCCAGAAAATACCTGACTCCTGCTGCCATGCTGTCTCTTTGCAAGAGTCCAATTAGACCAAGAATGGAATATTACTGTCATATCTGTTCTGGTCCTTCACAAACTACTCTGTCCAGCCTCACTTACACTGATTTGTGAGTAATTATTCTCCGCTCTGTAAACTTTATCCCACAGATGAAATGTTGCAAGCCTTTCACTTCTCTATTGCTGTTACTATGGCAGATGTTTGAACAATTTGCATTCTTTAGTTCTACACAGCCGTGCTGTGTTCATGGTGACAAACCTTTGTGTTGCTTTTCATTAAAAACATGTTCCTTTTTGAGATTTTTTATTCCCTCAGAATACTGTTACTTTTTGGAACAAACTCCAAAGAGAATGCTTCCTTGATAACTACAATCTTGGTCTCTAAGCTCAGGATCAACTGATATCTATCGTACTTGCCCTTGAAAGGGAAAGTAATATTTCTAAATGATGCAGAGTGCTAAATCTTAAATGGCTGGATTCTTTCCAGGCACACTTCAGATTTTCCGTACTCTTACCACAAAAAAAAAAAAATGAACTTATTAGGTCCACAAAAAAATTCTCTTGTTATGGAATTGAAACAGAAAAAAACATTGTTTATTTTCAATAATTTATCTGAAAGGAAGAAGGCTGTAAACACTTGTTAAAAATATTCTTTTCAGCACCTGATAAAAAAATTAAGGCTAGGTAAAGAAAATGTCCATTTGAAAGTCTAAAAATTCTTGAAAGAGGCAAATGTTTGAAGTATTGTTAATCTTCTGACCAGTCAGGTGTTATAGGTGAACATAGTTACAGAACCATCTGTTTTTGAATGCAGAGAGCTGAATGAAGTTGTTTTGGTAAACTTGAAATTGGTACAGCCTTGTGAAATATGGTATTAGTAAGCAAATTCTCTTATAGCATCAAGTAGAAAACTTGCTGTATTTGTCTCGCATATCCAGAATTGTTTGTATTGAAATTTCAAATATTAATCCCACCCCCACCCAGAGTCATTGTTTGGTCATTTGATATCTTGGAGCCCAAAGTTCTCTTCATGCTGGAAATGTTGATTGCTGTTGCTAAATCTTGTACTGTGAAGGCATTAAGCCCAAGAGAGCTACTTTGTCCCTCCTGTTTTCAGTCTTGGCAGAGTGTCGGAACTTCCTCCAGTATACCAGTGTAAAATAATTGATTGGTGGAAAATAATCCAGAGGATAAATTTTCTTCCCAATCCTTGTTTTCCAGAATGTGTGTGTTTTTTTTTTTTTTTTTTTTTTTTTTTTTTTTAACCCTTAGCCAGACACAGCAGCACTATAATCAGGTTCCGAACACGGTTTATCAACGAAAGTCAACATGGCATTGGTTGATGTCTTCACTCATAAGTAGTGGTAAGGAGCAGAAGCTGGTTTCTTCTTCCGCACCCCCCATTATTTTTTATTCCCCCCAACACGAATTTTTATATGACTGCTGAAGTGAAATATGAGGAAGAAAATGTGTATCATATGAAATCTAATTTTTTTTTTTTTTTTTTTTTTTTTTTCACCTTAAACTTTGAATTGTTTTACAATTTGGTTTTCATATACAAAACTAGTTCTTGACTAAGTGCAGTATTCTCATCTAGTCCTGTCTTAACAAATATGGAAAGAGGAATTTGTTCTACTCAGGGCAATTGCCAATACCTTTATCCTAAAATCTGACTTGTCATAAAAAAAAACGTGTCTTGTTCTCAGATATTAAGGAAAGACAGAATTAAAAGATCAACATAATATTCCATGGAGCAATCTGCCCAGTGTTGGTATTCTCTACTAAAATGTCTCTACTGCTAAACTAATCTAATTATATTTACTTGGTATACAGTACAATGCTTAATGCAAGAGAATTGGTATACCTCCCTCTTCTTAAATATCAAGAGGGCCATTATGAGAAAGAGATACTGACTTTAAATCTGGCTTTGTTCCATATTTTGTTCAAGTAGGTGTGTGGATAAATATTTTTCTTTGGCACCAACTGTAAATGTAACCTACTAAGCAGGCTCGTGAGTTAAGACTGACTTTTCTGTAAGGAAGTTGACCGTTTTATATTAGCATTTAACATTAATTCAAATGTGTGTTACTCATTGTATAAAAGTAATTATTAGAAACAGTTTATTCACTAGTTTTAATTAATTTTCTATCACATGGCAATAAAAAAAAAAAAAAAAACAAGAAACCCTTCAACAAAGTGGGAGTGGCTATTGTAACTTTGTATAAATACTGAACAGAATTGTTGAATTTCTGAATAAATCAGACTTTATTCTCTAGGAGATGGATTAATTGATGTAGTTTTTTTTTTTTTTTTTTTTTTTTTTTTTTTGAAAATAATGATTTTTATGAGATACAAGTCCTACTATTTAACCCATAGATGGGAGGAGGTGATGAATTTGTATCTTTCCCAAGGGTATTTGCACATAAGTGAATGCAACAAACCCGATTGGAATTTGAACTCCTCTCTCCAATTTCTTATTCTGATTCGCTATCTGTTACACCATTTGCACATCTATGTCCTCAAGGGGAAGACAAAAATCTGGATAGGACAAATCTTGAGACAAATTGTTTATTGAATTTTGAACAAACACAAGATGAAAATTCAAAATTGAAAATGTAATCCATAAATGTCTTGAAATAGAAAATATGGATTTTTCTCTGCTTGTAAAATAAAACTTAACAAATCCACAAAAAATACAAGATTTAATACTTGAATATTTTCTCTTGAAAATGTGTTTTTTTTTTTTTTTTTTTTTTTTTCATCAACATTTCACCTTAAAATGAAAATCCTGCAGTTTAAAATATTTTAAAAATGAACAAGATCTTTGCCAGACATTTTTTAAAAAGTGAATTTTTGGGCAGCACAATCACATGACTTGCTCAATTCACAGCCTGTTAACAATATTCAGCAATATAGCACTGGTAATAATAAACCATAACAAATGCACACCAGACAAAAATACCCACTGAATAGGACTGGCAAATGAACCAGGTAAAACATAGTGAAGACAAAATCCATAATATTAATCCTAATTATTAACCTCAATATTATTTGGATATTAACAACTCATTTGAAAGTCTTAGAGACAAAAGAAAGAAGTGTGGGGTGGGGAGTAAAATTGCTGAATTTGTAAAAAGGTGTGACTGGGCGAGGCAGCAGCAGAGATGATGGAAGAGACAGAAACATTTAATCATTGAATATTATCAACTCTTCTCAAATTATCCAACTTCTCTCTACATACTGGAATTGATATCTCTCCCCCTTGTGTATTTATCACTTGAACCTCTTCCCCTCATATTCCAAAACTTAAATGAATTGTAAATTGCAATCTTCTGTCCCTTTGAATGCTGTTCTTTTGTTCTTTCTCCTCACTAACATTTTCTCATTTTCTTTCACTTACAGTAACACCTTGCACCTTAGTGGCATTATTGCCTTGCTTGAGGTGAAATTATATAGATGTGTTTGGTAATCTGTATGGGAGGATATAATCTAGAGAGCTCAATGTAAAAACAGAGCAAATGTTAATTATATTAAGAAACAGACAACTTTAAGGGTTCATAATGATTATAATTAATTTCCTTAGAATCGAAATTCAATTGTAATTCCTCAGATCAATATTTTCATACAAATAAATAGGTGACAAATATTCCAGGTATAAAAAGAATTCAGTATTTTTAAGTTATGCAAACGTGTTTGAGGAGGCAGGTTTAAATTGGTGGCGGGGATGGGGGAGGGGTTCAAAGGAGATGTATCTCTCGCGTAAGGGAAAAGGTAATTGAAAATGTGTAAGACAAAAGACATGCAAACAAAATTAGGAAAAGAAAACAGATAAAAAAGATAAAGCGACATAAAATAAAGACTGGGAGGTGTGGGGGTTTGTTTGACATGCTGACCTCTTTATTGTGTGTATATATATATATATATATATATATATATATATATATGTGTGTGTGTGAATTTCAGCATATAAAAATCTATCATTATCAAGAATATTGATAATCTGTTTTGCTGATGTCTGGTTTTATTAGGCAAATTAAATGCAACTTTTTTTTTATTTTTTATTTTCAGAAAGGGGTGATATTAACAAAATGTCAAGGAGCATCATCTTGTAGGAATATACTGTGGGTTTTTCACTATAATGTTGACTTGAAACCTGAGTATCGAATTCACAGCTTAGCCTCTAGCATTTTTCTATGTCGTACAGTTCTTTGTAAGCATTCGAAACATCCCATGAACCTGCCCTTTCAAAATCATAGTTGTATTTTTTGACATTTATTGCAGCACTGTCAAAGCAAATCTTATGCAAGGTCATTATTTTATGTTTGGAGAGGCTCAAAAATATTACCATAAATTAATAGTAATTGCCTTTTTGTTTTTTTTTTTGTTTTTTTTTTTTTTCCATTTCAGCTTAAAAAAAATTTTTAGAATGCTCTTTCAAAGAGATGTGGGGAAACCTTTATATTTTGTGCTCTAATTCTTTCATGTCAAATTTGTTAAAATGAAATTCATCTTTGAATGATTTATCTTCTGTAAAATTTTACCAAATGTTGACCAAATTTCTAATTATTTTTATTAATGTTTCTTTGTATTTCCTCAGGTTTATCCATCCAATGTTACCAGTGTGACAGCAATGAAGACATTTCGTGCCCTTCTGACGAAAAGTTTGATACCAAAATCAATGCCTTAGTAAACTGCGATAGTTTTGAAGCCAACGTACCTGGCCAATTTTGCATGACGAAAAGGCAAGAAAGTCCTGGCTGTAAGTAGAATTCTTTTGTTTTTCATTTCAAAATTTTTAAGAAAAATAAACAAGATCATTAAAAAGTACTATCCTCAAGTTCAGGAAATTGGTCAATTACTCAGAATTTCCCATGTGTTGCCAGTCATTTCACATATATCCTGAAATCCTTCCACTGTATATTGGTGGGCAGTAAAGGGGATGACAAATTTAATGAGATCTACTCAATTACATTGTAATTATTGATCTGAGCAGTGCTTGTTCTTCATCAAAATATTTCCCAGTGATATATATATATATATATATATATATATATATATATATATATATATATATATATATGAAAGCAAATATATGGATATAGATCCGACAGTATGAAGAAAATATACTGAAAAAAAAACAAACAAAAATCCTAATATGCGATTATGCTGTTTTAATGTTTAATGTCAACGTTGGACATGATGACAACGTGATCATATTTAAACGGAACACTGATCTTATAAAAGATTTGTTATCTGTTTGGATTGGTATTGCTTTTTATGTCCATCGTCTTTTTTTCATGTTGAATTGTATATGGTCTATGTTAATTATGTTTTATGAATATGTCCTGAAGATGGTCTATTAGACCTAAACGTTGACATTAAACATTAAAACAGCATAATTGCATATTAAGATTTTTGTTTTGTTTTTTTTTTCAGTATATTTTTTTATATATATATATATATATATATATATATATATATATATATATATATATATTATATTCTTTTCTTTCTCCTCTTCACCAGAGTTGGTTGAAATTATCAAACATCCTGAATGCCGAGCTGTCTACTTATTAAATAAAGTCATGAAATCTCATGTCTACTTGGACCATTTTGTTTATTTTATCTTTTATGATTCATGCTAATGAAAGTAATTAGCAGAGTTAAGCAACATCGATCCTGGTCAGTATCTAGATGGGTGAGAGCTTGGGAATACCAGGTGTTGTAAGCTTGGATGTGTGGGTGGTGTAATGGATAATAATTTGGAATTCTTAATTGGAGGGCTGAGTTCTTATTCCAGTTGGGTTCATTATATTCCCTTCTGTACAAATATCCTTGGTAAAGGTATGAATCTACCTCTTCTACCCTCCAGCTATGGTTTAATTAGTAAGATAAAACAGTTATCTCCAAACAAACAAAATAAAATGCATATAAAATATTTCTGTTTTGGAATTAAATAACCCATAGAGATGTTGATATGCTGCAAAATAAAAACAAGGAAGAAAAACATACCTCCCCCCCCAAAAAAAAAAATTTCTTGTATATATATATATATATATATATATATATATATGAGATCAGGGAACCATTTTGTGATCCTTTTTAAATATTTTGGTTACATCTTGTATACTCACATGTTGTATGACAATAATTGATGAAATTCTGTAAAATATTTAATCCAAAAGCTTGAAACAAGAAAATTTGACTAACATGCCAATCAAATGTCTTTTATTATCATTCTCCCCCCCCCCCACATTATCTCCTTACCATTTGGTGTGACCAAATTCAGTTTTAGCAAGAATATTGTCGCAAATGAATTGTGTGAACATTGTGTGGGTTCATTTCACCTGATCAGTTACCAGGGCTGCTGAGACTCTCTTGGGGGCATAACATGTGACATGTCAAAGTTCCGATTGAGAGATTGTTTATTTTATTTGCTGTAATTAAGCCAAAAAGTTTGCTTGAATTTGAAGTTGGATTTTCATGGAATTTCAGTGGGTAAAAAGAATTACTTAGCACTGCTTGTCTTGTCCTCAAATATTACCCAGCTGGACATACCAGTTTTTATAGTTCCCTGATTAAGGGAAAATCCACAACCTATTTGCAAAGTCTATTGTAGAAAGCTAGTAACAAAAGGCTTTATCCAGGTGAGAGGGGAATGAATTTCATGCCTTTTACAAGGGCATTAGTGTAAAAGGGATATGAACCATTCTAAATGGAAATCAAATTTAATTCATTGATATTGGTTTAACCCTGTCGGACCTAAAAGGTATAGCAATGTCCCAAGAAGACATTGTTTTTTTTTTTTTTTTTTTTTATTAATACCAATTGTTAATGATCTCAAATGTTCATTACATAATTTACTACATTTTTGTTCCCCTCTTTTAAAAGAAAAAGAGAAAAAAGTGTTAGAAAATACATTATAAGGTCTCTTGTGTTGTATATATTCTCTTAGCCCGTGTTCGCTAGATGTTTTGGTTCAGAGATAAAAGAACTTCAACATAGAGAAGGTTTACTTAACTATTTTGTTAATTCTGACATGTGCTATCAAATGGGGGTCGTTCCCCCTCACTGGGGAGCCGTTTCAGACCTGAAAGAGAACATGTCTACATTGCTTGACGGTTAAGACTTTACCCCCTGAAACCTCTCTCCTATCTCCTTTCTCACACTAGGTCAGTCAATCAAAATCAACTTCCTATGTTATGGCTTGCATCTGACCCCATGTTCAACCTTAGGAAGTTGGAGCAGAGTTACTCTTCCTCCAAAATTTAACAGGGTGTTGTAACCTAGGGAAGTTTATCAAATAGAATAATCACACAAAGGTTGGTAATGAATGATAATACTTAGAACAAGGCAGAAGATTCGCCAGTGGTGCATAAAAGTAGTCAACTGCTAGAAGTGAGTCGAGTGAATTCCACAATGAATCTCCAACTGCAGGATATCTACCAACCGCCTCATGCGGTCAGATGTGGTACAAGGCTGAATTTAATGTGGGATATCCAAGCCCATAGGCTCAGCCAAAAATTCCCTGTATAAAATGGGGTTGGGTAGCTGTTTCCCAGAGATGAGACTCTGCCCTTTGACATAGCTTCATCTGGGGATCCTCTCTGCCCAGAGGCAGTTTGACCAGCACAGCTGTAGACAACTTTCCAACTGCAGACCAACATACAGGATTTACTACTGTATTTATGTGAAGGGAGACCTACCCATTATTGTCTGTAGGTATGTTCCAACATGGGGGGGTGTTCTTCACTCGTCCAGTCAAGAAACCCTTCTGATTATTTTCACGCTGTTTAGCCAGAAGGTTGATGCTGTTGACTAGGGTGTAGCAGTCACAGTGCTCATGCGACTTCTTGGAGCCATATGTGTGAGAGTTGGATGTAGGCTTTGTACTAGTACATTTACGCATCTCAATTTATCTAAGTAAAGCAGGGTCAACTACTTTGTTGCAAAGTTACTACCACTGACAATACACCCCCATAACCCTATAAAAGATATATTGAAAAAATCTCAAATTGAAAGGATTAAGAGTTGATCATCATGGGTGACAACTTCATGTTGTAATTTCAAATTTGAGTTATAATATTCTGATAATGTTGTACTTTTAAGCAAGTACAAGGAGAAATTGAGTACACAACAATTACGATGACAATTATAACAGAGATGGTATATTTAGGCTATTTTCCTAAATGACAAAAGATATGGCATGAAATAGGTGTACAAGTTTTATATGCTAAATTCTTTGCTTCCCCAGTCTTTCCACTCTGTAGTTGTTTCTGGTCTGCCTCATCAGATTAGCAGCTGACCTTTTGGTTATGTATTAGGAATTGACCATAAAGAGAATATATGGGCCATTAGCTTTCAATCTTGGCTCCATATATTGTACAATGCTGCTGCAAACACAGCCAATCATAAAATTGGTGGCACTGGTGAGGTTGATATTGGCTGGAAGCCAATGATTAAGGCTTTTAGCAGAAATGGAAATATTAAAAGGAATTCATTTTTTCTTTTTTTTATATTGAGATTGCATTATATACAGGAAAACAGGAAAACAATTTTGTTTTGTTTACTGAAACCTTTCTCTTTCACAATTTTTTTTTTTTTTTTTTTTTTCTCTGTACTAATCATTTAGATTTAATTCTAAACAATACAATCACTAAATTTTAATTAAAAATATTCTTATTAAAATGATAATTTACATATTAACATTCTTTAATGTTAACTTCTGTAAAATTTAATTTTATCTTTTAGGCGATCATGGTTCTCCACAGCTTCCTTTTTGTTGCTTTCAATAATATTTCTCCTTTATGACTGTACTTGTTCCTTCATCCAACATACTGTGTCAGTTACTCACTACTTTTGAGATACAGAATTTTCTTTTATTTCACATGGACTTTTTGTGCCTGCAATAAGACAGTATCAAAAGGTCTGGTTCTTCCCAGATATTTTTTTGGCAAACATGGATCCTTGTGCCCACAATAAGATGTAGTGTCAAAATGACACTTAAAAAAAGCAGTGTAATGGGGAAAAACTACTGAACTACCTTCACTCTTCAGCAATGTTCGTTTTTAAAAGTGAAGATTAGAATTGGAATAAAATCATATAAAACTGAATTTATAGATTTGCTTTGTTCTTGAGAATTGACAACAAAAACAATAAACAGTATTTATTAAATTGTTTATTTACACTATTGGTATTATTGGAATGGTCGGCAAAACTTCGCTAATTGCCAATTGATTCAAACTTTATAAAATCGTAAATAAGGATTTCCTTATAGTTCACATATTTTAATAATTTAGTAAATGTTTATAAATTTATGAATAAAAAATTTTACATCTATTTTTTTATAAATTGGTAAATGATAAATATTGCATTGCATTAGTTCTAATTGTATTAGTTTTTAAAATGTTGTAAATAATCTAATAAATAAATAAATAGTGTTTAATATTTTTGTTGTAAATTCTCAAGAACAAAAAAAAAAATGTATAAATTCACTTTCATCATATGTTTAGGTTTTATTCCAGTTGCTTTTTAAAACAATAAACATTGCTGAAAAGTGAAGGTAGTTAAAAAAAAAAAAAAGTGGTGTCATGGTCAAAACTTTCATTTTGACACTACATCTTATTGCAGGCATGAGTATCCATGTTTGCCAAGAAATGTCTGTTTACAAAATTTTAGAAAAGTGGGACTCTTAAGAATTGTCTAAGGTGCTTAGGTTTTGTTATGTTAATCATTTATTCTGGGAATTTTGTGTGTGTGCTCTTTATTTTCAGAGCAGAATTTTCCTTATTTTTGCATACATCCTCTTTAGTGCAATTTGTAGAAGCAGTCTTTAAGAGTCATTTATCTTTTCTCCAGGGACAAATTCTAGGATTTTCTTTTTCACTAAATCCCAGAATGAATTACTGCAAATCATCTCATCTGGACCTTAAACAAGTCATGCCTTTTCTTATAAGACACTTGATTTAATTATTTGTTAAATTGATGGAAGAATGTCAAATGAAACATATTCATTTATTAGCCAGTGATGCTGATATGTTCATTTTAATATAATGAATCTCCAAGACAGACAGGTGATGGTTTAGAAGCATCCCTGAATAATCCCAACTAAATTTTAGTGTTCAACTGCAGGGATACAAATTTTTTTTTTTTTTTATAAATTCAAAATGAAAACAGTATTTATACTTAATCTCAGTTCAATTAAGAAACTTTTTTTTTTTTTTTTTTTTTTTTCTTTGAGAATTATGACTGAACAGTTTTTATATTGACAGAACTTTTTTTTTTTTTTTGTTTGTTTGTTTTCCCCTCACTCCATAGAATCAATACCTCAATGAGATCAGGTGTGTCAAATAAATTAAAAAAAAAAAAAAAATAAAAAAAAAAAAAAAAAAAGTTTCTGTTAAGGTGATATTGATGCCTATTTCATGTTACCCACAAACTCCACCAGCTAATGAAAGAAGGAAAATGTAAATTAAAAAAAAAAAGGAAAAAACTAGTAAATAGAATTTGAAAGAATATGTGCAATGTATTTCTTATCATGGGGGGAAAACTTTAGTTGTGTCCTTGGGATGCACATATAGGTAATTTACTGCATCTTTTTAAGATTTTTATGCATTAGGTACACAGGATGCACACATATTGGCATCTCTCATTAGCTATCTGGTATATCGGTAATAAGCAGTAGGCATAAATATTTTTCAATACATGCCATGCAATGACTTCTCAAAAAATGAGGGGGGGATACCAAAAGCTTTAATTTTGTTTTGGTTTTTAATATAAAGCTTTTTTATTTATATATATTTCTTAAATCCATTCGCCCCAAGCAAGGTAATGATGCCACTAAAATGCAAGGGTTTACTGGGAGTGAAAGAGAATAAGACTTTAAAAGAAACCGGAAACCCGATCCTAAACAAGGGATAAACCTCTATTCTTGTTTAAAAGACAGGGGAGGAGACTTTAGAAGAAACCGGAAACCTAATCCTAAACGGGAAACAAGGGATAAGTATCTACTCCCGTTCAAAAGACAGGAGAGGAGTGTGAACCAGATGATAAGCGAACATAATTTGAATGCAGTTCTTTTTTGGATTATGCCAGGAAATTACCCACCAAGGTTGACACACCATTAAACAAAATCTAACCCATCTCTCCTATTACTTAATAAAACATTCTGTGTTCTTTGTTGTTGTGGGAATGGAAAGTATTATCATGCCTTCTGGTACATTTATCCTGCAAATAATACATTGCAAACTCATGAGTCCAGGTAAAAAAAACAAAAAAAACATGGACCTCAAACAACAGTTAATAAATGTATTAAGACATATTTACAGAAAGACAAAGAAAAAATTGAAGCTGATGAACAGTTCAATACAATCTTTAGTTTGATTTTTCTGAAGTACTTGCATGCCTCGTGTCTGTCAGAGTGAAAGGAAACTTGTGTTGCTGCTCTAAAAGTTAGAGGAAAAGCCTTTCCAATATTGCACCAGCTGTGATTATTTTCAGGAGGTGACAATCCAACAATGTAAATGCTAGGCTCTTTAAGATAAGCCTTAACCACAGTAGACAGAATGTAGTAAAATGCTTATGGCCACATTACATTGAAACACCAGATCCTCATACAATCATTGAAGTTAAGCAATGTTGAGCCTGATCAGTACCTAGATGAGTGAATGTTTGGGAATACCAGGTGCTGTAAGCTTGTGGGTGGTGTAATAGATAATGGCTTGGGATTCTTAATCAGAGCCAGGTTCCAATTTCAGTTGGGTTTGTTATATTCACTTACATGCAATACCCTTGGGAAAGGCATGAATTCACCTCTTCTCCCCTCAGCTATGGGTTAATTAGTAAGACTTGTATCACTAAATCATCTCAAAAAAAAAAAAAAAAAAAATTAGAATCTAAAATCTTTTCTGGCTTATAGATTATCAACCTTTTGCAGGTTATTTAAACCTGCGAAAGGTTGATAATCCATAAATAATGAATGAATCTATCAATCAAGAATGTACTAATGGTGCAGGAACTGATGCCATTAAATATGGTCAAAAGAATTTAAAAAAATCAGAAATAACTTTTTTTTTCTTGTTCCTTCTCTTTCATTACAGGGAATGGCTGGATTAAAATCACTCGAAGATGTGCAAGTCGAACACTTTCAGGTAATCTAAATCTTTTTATCTTTTTCTTTTTATTGAAAAAAAATTTTTTTTTTAGTAAAATGGAACAAAAGTATGAAAAACTTTCATATTGTCACCCTATGTGTAAATGTTGTTAGTGAAAACTTGCTTTTTTAATTGTTAAATCAATTACTTTTTTTTTTTTTTTTTTCTCCAATGAGATAATCCTTTCTACATTTTTGATCAATGCCTCTTGATTGGCAGTATTAGATAATAATTATTATACATTTCATCACATTGAATTTGTGACTGTTTTAAAGTTCAGTTTAAATTAAATTTCTGGAGATTGACTGTAGCGTAAACTTAATCCACACATATATATATATATATATATATATATATATATATATATATATATATATATATATAATAATTTTATAGAAAGACATTAAGATGTCACATTTCTAAATAAAATATATATAATGTCATCTGAAATGAAATAAAATCACCTGTTCAAATGCCACCTATTAAAAACAAGCTTAGAAACTTTTGTCCCCCCTACCAGTATAATCATAAATGTTATTTGATTTCAGGAGTTTAAAAAAAAAATCATTATCTCCAGTATTTCCCAGCCAATAAAAGCATGTCCCACTCTACAACCCAAATAAAAATCGATTGTCTCAAGATATTATATTGCCTCTAGTATATAAGTATTATGCATGGAAAGCCAATCACTGAAGGCTGGAGTTGTTGTACAGCTTAGTGTTTCATCTTACAGACCAGCAAATATTCTCTGCTTTAATTCTTTGTACACAATTGATATCTACCAAAAAATATTCAGAAGAAATGGCAGAAGTGCTGGGAAAATAACTCGCACAGTAAACTCTTCACAATTCAGCCCAAACTAGGAAAATGGAAATCGGCTTCCTGAAAATCTTGAAAGGAATTAGTAGTACTGGCTTATTTCACACATTGCCCCGACACTAGAATGACAGACTTGATGAAACCTGATCTACAAGCTGATTTCTTCCAAAGAATACATATTCTATTCATACAAATCTATTCTAAAAATATTGTTGGCATTAAATAACCCATTGAGGTGTTATGTTGTAAAGCAAAATAAACCCAAACCAAACATTTATCAGTTGGGATCAATATAAGCAGAATATTAAGAAATAACAAAATATTAGAAACAAATAAAAAGTACTGTTGCATGATAATCTGTCATTTTATAATTCCAGTGAATACTGGATAATCTTTTCAAGATGAAGCAACAGAAATGTGATACTTGAAGGATATTGATGATACCATGGACCATTTTAGAGAAAACAAAAATGAAACTTATACTTAAGAGATAGCTGAAATTTCTACATCACATAATGAGGAAAGAGGGCTTGGCAAATCTCATACTCACAGGGCAGATTAAAGGCAAGAGAGATAGTGAAAAACAACGTATAACCTACTTGGTGAGCTTGAGTAAATGATTATTTACTTATAAGATAACCTCTTACCCACCAAATCCAAATATTCTATTTCATTTCATATAGTGTGTGTGTGTAGAATATATATATATATATATATATATACATATACATTTTATATTTATACATTCTTTTTATAGATACAAATATTTAAGTAAATGCTCTGTTTATAATAAACAGTATTAAACAACATTTACCGGCCTGAATGTCTGAGAAATTTTCATAGAAAATATTCGTCCTCTGACAGGATCTGAATCTGTATCCTATACGGAACCGTCATATAGCCTGACGTGCCTTTTTAACTGATTCGGCCACACAGGATCATTCGGCCACACAGGATCATTCGGATGGCAAGGTCGAATTTACTGTTTTTAAACTTCAATCATCCATGAATCTCTCATGTACATTCATATCTGCTCATGGCATATCAAATGTAAACAAATGACGTCACATTATGAAATGGACAAAGTCCGACAATTATTTTAAGACATTTTATGTTTATACATTCATTTTATAAAACGTCTTAAATTAATTTACTTAAATATTTGTGTCTATAAAAAGAATGTATAAACATAAAATGTCTTAAAATAATTGTCAGACTTTGTCCATTTCATAATATATATAATCCACATACAAGCCTGTTTTGCTGTATTACAGGTCATCAATGTGGCTAGACATCTGATTGCTTCAAGCCAGGATCAAAACTTGACTGATTTGGAATCAGTCAGAGTTTATCCATAAGCTATTGGCGCATGGCAGAGAAAGGGAATCTTTTAATGTATTATATACTTGATGTATATAAATGCCAAATCAGTAGCCAGAGTGCCCGATTCATGACTAAAGAGCAATGTGTTTTGTGTGTGTGTGTGTGTGTGTGTATATATATATATATATATATATATATATATATATATATATACACGAGACAAATGTCTGTTTATTTACTAACATTTACCAAGTTTAATTACAAGGCTAGAAGTTATTAGTATTCCAAAGCAGTCACTCATTCAAGTACTGATCATGTTCAGTGCTGCTTAACTTTGGTATGATTCTGATTATAAACCAAGCCAGTCACTAAAGATCCAAGCTTTATTGTAAGAAGGTCAAGATAAGTTCTGGTGAGCAGTAATTTAAAAGAAAACTTATTTGTAAAACTCTCCTCTAATTTTCTGGTCTATTTGTAATGCCTTCTGCTGACTTAGTTTTTATTATCAAAAATAATTGTTTAACATCTTTGCCATTTTGTTTCACATTTTACAACTGTACCAAATGTTACTGCAACTCTCAGTATCTTTTATGACAAAAGTCATGACAATTTTGGTTTAAATTTGTTGATCAAATATCCAAATATCAGATTTACTGACCTTTAGGAAAATCTAAGGTTTTTTGGGGGTTTAACAATTTGAAAACTTCTTAAAACATTCATCTAAATCCACTAAATATGGGAGGTAAAACAAAAACAATCTTTTTTTAAATGCAAGGTACTTTCTCTGAATTTCTGGGATAAGGAGTTCTCATTATTTACAGTCTGACTAATGTCCTTATCTTTGTTATGATCAAAACATTTGGCTGTTGTGCACTCTGGCCATTCTTCCCACAGAACAATGGCCTAAACCAATGGTTCTTAACTTTTTTTTTTCCCAATGCACCTTTTTTAGCCTATATCTGAATATCGTCCAACCCTCTATCCAAGATTATCAAACTCAAAATGTGCATTCCAAAATATATATATATATATATATATATATATATATATATATATATATATATTATTGAAAATTTTCATTCTTTTCTAAATAAAAAAAGAAAAGTCAATGCCCCCATACCTCCCTGAGATCACCCCCTGGGAAATCAACCCCCATTGGTTGAGAACCCCTGGCCTAGAGGATTAAAGGTTTGCTTAATGTATTTAGTGGCTTAATAATTTCTAAGTTCTTATTTAGTACTGTTTAGTTATTGCTCGCCCTTATTTCCACTGCATTCAAGTCCACACTACCTGGCCCAGAGATTGAACTCACAATTACTGTCGCCAAATTCATGAACCAACACTTTAATCAACTAGGTTATTGTTGTGTGGGACAATTCTGCATGGAGAACTTGGAGCCTTAAACCTAACTTGCCAGCTGATGAGAGTACTGCATGTCATGTTTGACTGCACACAGTGAAGCTTTTCTCTTTTTGTTCCAGCTACTGTTGTAGACATGCTGTCTTTTGTCTTTCTTTATTAATGGCTCCCATATTGTATTTATTTCTATGCTAGGCTGACTGAGGAGATCCCTCTGTCATTTGTGTTTTTTTTTTTTTTTTTTTTTTTTTTTTTTTTTTTTTTAATTGACCAACTGGTTAAAAAATTTATATTAAAAAAGGTTCCTCTGTTTTGCCACCTTTTATAGTTAAGTCAAAGTGTAAATGCCTACACCTTGATTTGAACATCCTTTTAATTTTTTTTTTTTTTTTTTTAATATACCTGTCTTTACAAGATAAATTATGTGTTATCAACTTGCAAGAATTTGATTAAAGTAAAGGAATTGAGAGAAAATGTAAGTTTTAAAGACCAAAGGCTCAAATGTTACAGGAATGTCTTTATAGGCTAGTGATTTCATTTGACATCATGAAATTGAATCATTTCAACCTTTCTTTTATGTTGTCTTTTGCAAGAATAAGTTGAGAAAAATGCTTCGGTTGATAGACTAGACTGTCAACCAGTGCTCTACCAATTTTAACTTTTCTATAAGTTAATCTTTCTTACCACAATTTTTTAAAATAATTTCCATTATTTGATTGTCATTTTGAAAATCCAGTGTATTTAAGTAGTATGTTTTCTGGTATATAATACATACATAGAGCTTGGTAAGGAATATTTATGAAAAAATTACTAATGTTATAATGAGCATTTGTTTGTAAAGGAAGGGAACAAACAAGGATTAAAATTTCAACAGTGTGTATTCATCAGATTTTGGAATATATACATAATTGTTTGAAAGGTGGTAAAATTGTTCATGTGTGGTTCTTTAGTTGCAGTTGATAAGGAAGACAATTATGTGTTGTTGGCAGATGACTTCTTGGGATGGTTGGCTGAGGTCATGGTTGCTGTCAGAGAATGGGTATGGAGTAGATTAGTGAAGCCAAATGTAGTATCATTGGCAGGGTAGGTTGCTGAGATTATAGCAGGGTGATGAGGGAGGTCTGGAATAGTTAGGGAAGGTTGATCAGATGGAATGTCTCTTTTGAATCTTGGTTGAATGTGGTATTAATGAGACTGGGATCAGGGTGGTGACAACTAGGGAGACCTGGAGCTGGATAGTGAACACTTTGAGGTGTGAGAAATCATCATACTGGTTGCATCAGTAGCCTGGTGGTGTTGAATCTAGCCTATTGGCAGCATTCCAATTTCATTTCAAGTCGGGTGAGATCATGGTGGTGACAAGAGGCTTTCTTTTAAGCAAATATGGTGGTCCCCAGGGTCATTTTAATGGGAACATAAATGATTGGCTAATGTATTTTATTGTGGAGATTTTTTTTTTTTTTTTTTTTGTGGACCGGAATGATGCTCAGAGCCCCTCCCCCTTGTGCAGAAACTTTATTTTGTGTTTTGCTTGCTTAGCATTCAGATCCAGTCAACATGTAATGGGAATCAAAAAGAGATCTAATTACTGTGTGTGTGTGTGTGTGTGTGTGTGTGTGTATATATATATATATATATGAGCACTAAAAAAAAAAAAGAAGATGGCTGAAGACATTGTTTATAATACCCAGAAATTCATACAGATATCCCCAAGGATACATGGCACAGTGGATAAAGGTGTTGGTTAAATCCAGTGACAGGACCCAAAGACTGAGTTCAATACCTGGTTAAGACAGTGGAAAACTTGGAGAGGGGAATTAACAGGAGATAACTGATAACTGACATCCATTAAACATGGCATGTGGAACTAGAACAGTTTACCCCAGTGAGTGAAAAAATGTAATAAATATGATGATAAAGATGAGGACAATAGTATAGTACAAATATTGTAAATAGTATGGGATGTGTGAGAGTAATATATATATATATATATATATATATATATAATATATATATATATAACAGTAAATTTGTGATTTTTTTTTTTTTTTTTTTTTTTTTTATATTATCAAATTAATAATCTATAACCGTATCTCTTCTATTCTGGGATTCTCAAGGGTGTTTAGTTGTTAGTCTAGTACCAATTTGGTTAAACTAAAACTTAGGATGCACATAAAGATTTTCATAATTCCTGACCCTCCCAAGTTGTGCAATGGAACTCCCACCCCCACTCTTGGCCAAGCAGCTATTCCTACATGTCACTGAGGTAACTATCTTAACTGCATCCATTGACAGAATTCCTAACAGACTTGTTCTTGGAATTCAATTGATTATAAATCCAAGATATACTCAATTCTTGTCATCTTCAAAATGATCTCTCAAGATTCTTAGCCTCAGCCTGACTTCTATTCTCCTGCCCATGTTATGGGGTTGGATTCCCAGTCTTTTCATATTGGCACACAATAGAAGATGCATGAATGTACCCAGAAGTCTTATCAAATTAAGTGGGCTACACTATTTTTATTTTATTTTTTTCGGTGGGGTGCATCGGATTATATGTGCAAATAATAATGTTTTTCATTTGCTAGGTTGAAGAAATATGAAATTGTTATTAATATTACAACAAAAAATGTAAGAAATATATTAAATATTTTATTTCTGTGCTGATATATTTGAAGTTCTTTTCCCTGGGCAACATTGTATATCCTTGCTAGTGAGAACACTTTTAGCATTATCAGCCCTTTTAGAAAATACTTATTCCCTACAGTGAAATTCTTAGAGAAAATATTTAGTTTTCATATGGTGCATCTTTTAAAATTTTTTTTTTTTCTTTTCTTCTAGGTGTTGCTTGGGGTTGTCGCTGGTCATGGGATGAAGCTGGTGTTTTCACAGAAACCTGTTATTGTGACGAGGATGGTTGCAATGCTGCCCCACACACCTCTGGTCATCTTAACATAATACTCTTTTTATCATCAATTCTGCTGGCCATGTGCCAACTCTTTATGTTTTCATGAAACTTTAGTTTTTTTTGCTTTCTAGCTTCTACAGATTCCCTCCATTAAAGCAACCTCTTGCTATACATGAGTTGCTTACATACTTGAAAAGTTTCAGCATCAAAATTTATATAAATACAATATTTTGATATTTCATATTTCAACCAATGTTAAGAATTTTTTTTTTCCACTTTGAGTTTTTCTTTAAACTTTACAACTGAAAATATATATTTTTTTACTTTTTATGTAATAATTGTTCCTAGACTTTTAGAAAAAATTTTTTCCCGTTTAAGTTGATCTAAGATTGAAAAATTAAATCTGGTTGAACAATTCATTCTGTTGGCAAATTTAAAAAGTTTCAATGATTGATTTACTATTTTCATAATGTGTATATAAATCTTGACATTTCAATTGTTGACAAATTTTAAAAAGTTAATTTTGTTTTATGACATTGAAAATTAATAAGTATAAAATTTTTGTAAAATGAAAATAACCAAAAATTAGTAAAATATTTTCTTTAGAAATCTTATTCTTTATAGTATATAAACTAAAATTCTTAATTTGCAAGTCAAGCCAGCGTCATTTTATAGGGGAGGTAATCGTAATACATTAGTCTCCCTTGTTTCAATTATCAAAACCGTAGTGAGATGTAAATGGAAGGAATTTTAAAATGAACTATAAATGCTCATATATATATATATATATATATATATATATAAATTTCTGCAGTCTAATTTTAAATAATTCATGTAGGAATTTTATTAGAAAATAACTTTCTCTTGATGGGTGCTTTTAAGACTGTAAAATATTAACCTTGTAAATAACCTGATCATTTAATGCTAATATTTCATTTGATTTCGTTAGAATGAAACAAATTTGTCCTTTTTGGTAAATGTTCTTTTTGTACTTTAAGTGGAATTCTTCTAAAAATTGTCTAAAGTTATTCACAAATAATTTTACTGGAGTAATTACTATAACAAGTGAAGAAAATGAATAAAAAAAATATTAAAGCAGTGAGAAGAATAAATTATATTTTCATCTGGTCATTAAAAGGTTTAATCAAAAATTTATCATTTTAGTTTTACTTAAAGCAATTTTAAAGCAGTGATTAAAACCATTTCTACACCCCCCCCCCACATAGGCACACACTAGATATTGAGTGGCGACAGTTTTTCTTCAGGCCTGAAGATTGTTCAAGCATGAATCGCACTTCCAATATTGACATTAGTGTCTATTTTTTATATTTACACATGCTCAATCCCTTATATTGAGCACTTTACACATAAATATAGCATACTATATATATATATATATATATATATGATAAATACTATCTTTCTGATTTTTCTCTCCTTGACATACTGTCTACATTCTGTAAGAAGCACATGTGGACAATCATTCTTGAGATATATATATATATATATATATATATATATATATATCTCTCAAGACACACTAACATGTTCTAGAGTGTTGCTCATCTTGATATCAATTATTCATACAAAATTGTAGTTTCTGTAGATATTGAATTTTATAACTTTGTCTCAAGTACAAATATAGTAGCATTTAGTCATTGTCACTTAATGGAATAAATAATTTTCCAGCAATTTCAAACTGAAATTTATTCACATTTTTATAGCAAACGTTTTGTATGCAAATGTGTACGTATAAGTTTTTTTTTTTTTTTTCTGTGAATGTCTCTTTTCGTGTTAAATAGTTTTACTACATGAAACATTCACAGAAAAGGTCATGTCTGACGTAGAGAATGTTCACACATTTTAATAAATGTCATTACTCAATGTCTACAGAAGCAAAAGGAATTACAAGTGTATTGATTTAGAGAAGTTGGCATACATATTCGGTTGTTAGTGAGTTTTTTCATCTCTGGTTATTTTACTTATCTCTTTGGGTATGTCGAGTCATTAGCAAATGAGAAAAATAAAATGTCAGCAAAAGAGAGCAGTTTTAACTGGAAGTTTTTCATTGCTTCACACCAGTTATTTTTAAATTATATTATTGTCTGTAATTCTATCTTGATTTATCAAGAAAATGATAATCATTTTGTGTCTGTGTGCCTGTGACTCAATTTAACAAAACTTGTGAAAATATATTGTTTAAAATTTACTATATTTATAGGAGAAAAGTGTTTAAGAAGATGGTATATACTTGGTCTGAAAATAACATTGAGGTTTGAAACTGACAGTAAATATTTTGTTGAAGGATGTCTACAATTGTATCACAAGAAAAATCAATTTTTTTTTTTTAAGTAATTTAACTTCTAATTTTAATTAACCTATTAATTGTGGCAGTAATTTTTGTGTTCCATAGTTGAGTAATAGAAGCACAGTGACAGACATTCCTGTCTTTTGAATTTAATGGGTTAAACCAGTGCTTCTCAAAGTATCTGATATGTCAGATTGGCATTTTTTTTCTCGATGTGTCATGTACCTGTAATATTAATTTATATCGGAAGTTATATATATATATATATATATATATATATAATAAAAGTTGACTTTTTTTTTTTATCTTCCATTTATTTTGCAAAAAATAATTTAATATAAAAAGTAATAAAAAAAAAAATAAAAAAAATAAGCAGTTTAAGACAAAAACAAAAATTATGTAATCTTAATCCTTACAAATGATTCCTTAGCATGGCCTGGACACTGGCCACAAACTGGTAGCTGATGGTTTGCATACCAGCACCAGTCCACAGACTACCACTTTGAGTAGCACTAAGTTAAACTACACTAGCGTAATTTTTACTTATTGACTAGTTTTGACTATTGATTTAGAATTGAAATGTCCTGAACTTTAATTTCACAATGTTGAGATTGTTTTGGAATTCTATGATCATTGAACAAGTACAAAAAGGGAAAAACTAGTTTAAAAAAGAAAAAAGGTAGTAATAACAATATTAATGATGACAATGTTTATCCAATAACTTAATGCAGCCTGTGACTTGGGTTTTATAAATTGAAATTTATATAAGTGTTCTACATCTTAATGAAGTTATTAAGAATAGCTTTTCATGAATCTTTCAAGAATTTTTCTTTTCTTTCTTTTTTTTTTTTTTTTTTTTTTTTTTAAGTAGAGATCTTCTTAAAAGTGAATTGAATTTTTAGTTTAAGGATGCATTTGGTTGGAATATTAAATTTTATTAGTGTGATGGACTATAGAAAGAACTTCATACTTAAAATTCTAATTATATATATTTATTTATTTTTTGCTTAAAATTACTTCAACCTTCAACACAAAAAGGATTGTTTTATCCTATACTGATATATATACTGATATTTTTTTAATTTATAAAAGAGATCACTATGTAAATTTTGAATAGTTTTATTTGCAATTTTGATTTTTTTTTTTTTTTTTTTTTTTTTTTTTTTTTTTTTTTTTTTTATGACTGACCAAATTTAATTTTCCCCAGCTCTTCAAGCAAAAAATGTTCTCCATACGAAACAAAAATAAAAGTTGCTTTTAATTGCTTACATTGTAACCTTGGTGTAAATGACTTCATCCTTTACATAAAATAATTTTATTTCAATATCATTGCAAAGTGTTCCTCTTATTTTTAATCTTTTTTTTAATTTTTAAGATGAAGAATTATCATTATATGCTAATTTAATCAGACTGATCCAAGTAAATAAGATTTGTTTTTGTTTTGAGTCAATTGAGAGAGCAATTTATAGCTAATACATAAAACATTGTTCTATTTTAATTGTGTTAAATTAAGTGAAAGGAATTGATTTTCTTATTTTTACAAAAAAAAAAAAATCATAATACTAGTATATCTATGCCGTCAAAAATAATGCCATATTTTAAATCCTTACCATTATTAGATTTTCACATATGGGTCTTTTAATGATAGCAAATAAATTGCGGTTACAAGGGAAATGACTCAGTACAGCAAAAAAATTACTGACATAAAAAGTTGCTGGAAGACGTGCAAGTCTGTTATTTTTTCTGTATGTGTAAAATATATATATATATATATATATATATATATATATATATATATATATATATTATTCAAGGGAACTTTGGCCATCTGTAATTTTAATATAATAATTTATCATGGTTTAGACTTTTTTTTTTTTTTTTTTTTTTTTTATAAAGAAGTGACACAAATACCTTAATTTTTGAATATGAGGCTAACAACCTACAAGTTGGTCATTTTCTATAACACCAACAATGAGTCCCTAAAATAACTTCTGTTCTTCACTGAAAAGTCATTTTTTTTTTTTTTTTTAATTTACTTACAATATTTATCATTTCTACTAACTTGTAAAGTTTATTGGTTTTCTTAAATAAACTATGAAGCCGTTTATCGACCCACTCATGTTTTTAAAAAATGACTTTTATTTTTTTTTTTTCTTTGTCTTTAATCTTGTTAATAAAAATAAATAATGCTAATAATGAAACATTGTCCTTCAAATTTGGTGCTATTATTCTTTACCATTTATTAAAACTTAATTGATTCTTTTGTCAAATGCTGCTTCAATAGGTGAGGTGCCATTCTTGATAAGTGTTTCGTGAATTTTTTATCATAAGATTCTTCATAATTGTAAAAAGAAAATAGTCTCTTTGTTGTGACTATCAATATTGTAACTAACTTGAAATTTTTTTATTTTTACTTAGTATTTGTATTGAATGTATTGTTAAACTATTTAATTACAGAAATTAAAATTTTTGTAGGCAAGACCCCCCCCCATTCACTTTATATTAGTCATATCTGCAGAGAATAAAATAAGTCTATGGTAATTCTATTAGTGCGTGTATGTATATATATATATATATATATATATATATATATATACACACACACACACACAATATTTACTAGTGAAAACAATTGGTGAATTTTATTCCTTTTTGGCTATTAAATCTTGTCAAGAACAACTCATAATCTCCCTCTTTATTTGCTCATAACTTTTTTTTTTTTTTTTTTTTTTTTTTTTTTTTTGCCTAATATAAAAAAGTGACAATTTTTATACAATATTTATTTGCAAATAAACTTA